GATTCTTAATCTTTGGAATCAAAGTAATGAGACTTTTGTTTACTACATGGCCCAGTTGACAAGTATTGTAAAATCCAACAATGAATTTCATGACTTCCCTTTTCAAAACTACCGATTGTAATTTGAAGAAATTAAAATTAAACCCGTTTAGCCCAAGCATGTCACATCCCATTTCTAGGAAAATGATTGACATAAAGACCTAAACAAGTATAGCTCACTAAACCCAAGCACAACTCTTTACTTTCTTAGTTAAGTTGGCATTTCATAATAAATATTTATTATTTCAATAAACATAATGAATATGTTATTTAGTGCCATCATAGCATGTTGGATTTCTACATCACCATGTCTGGAAATGCAATACATTATATATCTCAAATTTACTATTCATAACATCATGCATTTGCATCTTGGTGCTTAATTAGGCCCTTGGGCCATCATAAGCATTCATCTATTTAATATTGTAAAGAAACATGATACTTAAATCAATTTACAAAAACATAAACATGTCTAACAACACATAAACATAACATAGAGACAGATTCATTAGTGGAACATGGCATGACCATTTAAGTTGCAAGCGACTATTAGAACACCTACAAAAAAAAAACAGATCATGTCTCCGTGACACTGGCTGCTAGCTACTCACTGATTTATAAAACAAATACATTTTACATGTTTAAGTCACAAGACTTTGTGAGTGGATACAAGAAAGGGATAAGCCAAAGTAGAGTAGCTTTTGCTTAAATAATGACTTTAACTAAGCATGCATGTGGGAGCTTTAAATACTTTGCCATAAATTTTGAAAGTAGTTTATATCAATCTTGAAAATAGGTATATTCAAAGCCTTTTTTTAAATTTCAAGTCAATCTCGAGTTTTCATAAACTTTAAAACTAAAGCTAAAGTGGAAAACTATTGAAAACTCATAAAAAAAGCTAGAATTATTGTTCTGTACATGAAGTCTCGATACTTCCTTAAAGGTATCGATACATTTTACTTAAGTCTTAATACCACCACTAGGAAGTATTGAGACTTTCAGCACAAAATGCCTTTCATGCATTCTGTTTTCACAGTATCGATACCTTAGGTCAAAGTTCGATACTTTAATCTTATAAACTTAGATTTGGACTATTTTCAGCACATTTTGACACTAAACGTCCTCTTATGCTTAAGATTCATTAAGTTAAACTTTTATTCATATCTAACTAAGAAACATCATTGCTTGTATAATTCTAACACAATTTACATTTCTAACCATATCATAACACTTCAAACATTAACATGTCTAAAAACACTAAACTTATCTATAACTGATTATAATGGAATCATCCTTATTATCCTTATATTACCGTGATAATGGTTTAGTCCCCATTATCCTTAGACTCACTGATGTCAATAGTTTAATCCCCATCATCTTAGGATTTCTGGATTATCCTTAGACTCACTATGAGTGACATTCCTCTTTACTCATATTGGGGACAAGGGTACCTTTCTTATTGTCTTGGATTTTATTGTGTGTGTGGTATATGCCCCACATCTAGCTCTCATATGTATAAAAGATATAACATCCATAATCAATTATATCACAATACATGCTCATACTGTAGTATTTCTCATATTCATAATCATGCTTAACTCATGAGGCATGTGGAACCACATCACATACATGTTCAACTAGCATACAATATATGCTATCTCAATTCAGCTCATGATTTCAACTTATCATGCATGCTTACTATCATTCATGCTCTTAGCAAATACATAATCAATTCTTATAAATGGGTGGGAAACATATGTCCATCTTACTTATTGTCATACTATCATGAATTTCATACTTATCACATCATCACTGAAGATTTTAAATCAAAACATTTCAAAGGACTTGTCCCTTCTTGTTGAAAACTAATACATAGTAGGAGATATATATTGTCAAACTTTCTTAAAACTAGGATTTATACATAAGCACATTTTGTGAGCTTTATAATTGATCTTTTGTTTTAATATGACAAAAGTTAATGATCAAAATATGGAATGCTTAGTGCATTTAGACTTTAAAGAAAACCCCATAACTTTGATTAACAAAGAGGCTGGGTACTTATGTTCAATATTTCTTAAGAGACTAAAACTAATTTAAAGTATCAAGACCTCGAAAGAGGGTATTGAGATTAATTTGTTTATGTATGCCTCAAGAAACAGTCGAAGGAAAAAGGTGTATCCAGACTACTTTGAACAATATCGACACTCCACTCAAGAAAAGTTATATTTTCAGAGAACAAGTATTGAAGTATTGAGAACAAAAGCATCAAGTATCGAGACAACTTCTTAATAGTGTAAAATTTCAAAAAGCAAGGATTTGTGTATCAAGACACATTTTCAGAATTTTGATACTTTGCCTTCAAACTTTATATTCCAAAGAAGTAGTTCAAATGTATCGAGAAGGAAGATCTTCAGTATCAAGACAACACCTTTAGAGAGTAAACAACAGAAAGAAAATGCCTAAGTATCAAGGTACATTATATTTGTATTGAGACCAGAACTTCAAGATTCCAATTTCAAAATGGCCAAGTAAATTGGTATTGAGATTAATTTGCAAGGGTATCGAGATAACATCTCATGAGGAAAATTCCAAAAACCAAATTGAAATGTATCAAGATGGAATATCGTATTGAGACAAGGCTTAGTTAGAATTGTATATGGAAGATAAAAGCATTGAGAAAGGCATTTAGAGTATTGAGCCATCAACAAGCAAGGAACTTAAAGTATCGAGACTCAAATTGCAAGTATTGAAATATCCCTTCAAACAAGCTGGAAAAAAACAAAGACAATGATTAGAATTTTGAAATTCAAAAGTCTAATGGCTAATTTAAAAGCTCTAAGTATAAAAAAAAGGTTTAAACTCCTTTATGAGTTGAGAAAACACGTTAAGAAAAAATCTTAGGCAAAAGTGAATCCTTCAAGAGAAAATTCCTAATTCTCACTTTTCAAACTAAGTGTTCTCATCCTTTGTTGATTGTTGAGTTGAAATCTTACTTCTTCATTAAGCCTTCAAGATCTTTTCTTTAATATTCATTGTTCTATTTTTCCTACTTAAAGGCAAACTCCTTGAGCATCACTTTCATTCATTGTAATATCTTGTAAAGGTTATACTTTACCTTTAAAAAGGTAGAGAGCTCAGAAGTGGTTATACCTTTACCCTTGAAAAGTTAGTTGTATATGTTTTGCTTGATCCTTGAAAAAGAAAGTGATATGTTCTACTTGATCTTTGAAAAAACAAGTGTGTGAGTTGTGTTTGATCTCGTGAGAAGGCAGTTTGGGTTATGCTTAAGCTTGTGAAAAAGCTTTTTGTACAGGCTAGACTTTAACCTTGAAAAAAAAATTTGAGTTAATGGATTTTTAATTTCTTGGTGAGCCAACAGAGAGGCCATAAGCATAGAGGCTGAGCCTCTACAAATCTCATGTCTTTTGTGCTTGCTTGATTTTCTTTTTGTGTTTTTGCTTGCTCATCATTTCAAAACTTTCCAAAAAAAAAAAAACACTCATAACTCTCTTTGCTTCATTTCTAAAGGCTTCTTGTGTTTGATTTGCAAAAGAATTTTTGATATGCAGAAACAAAGAAATTTTTCAAAGAGATTTTAAAATACTCAATTCACCCTATCTTGAGTTTGCTCCTTTAAGCTTAATGATTTTAACATATTTCAATCTCAATCCGCATTAAAATCATGCTATTCGAAGAATTCAATAAATCATGCTTCACTTTACATACTAAAATAATTTTGAAAGTGGTGTATGCACTCACTTGTTTGAGGACTTGACCTTTACCAAAGCCAAGCTCTACTCTAGTGAATTCCTTGGAGTTTGTACAACACCTAAAGCATTCAACAATCATCGTAATCAATACTTAGATTATGAATCACATAAGCTGCATCAATGATCTTGGGTGTTCCCCCTTGATAAGATGCATACGTTTCCCTTTTTCTTGGGTACTAACTAAGGCATGTATATTTTGGCATATGGAGGTTTAATAAGAGCATATCATTGCAAATGAGAGAGTGTAGAATTCATAGTTTTCTGTAAGTTTTTGAACAAAATCAATCAACAGTTCTCAATGATAAACTTACAGTGTGAATGCTCCTAGTGATGGGGTCTTTTTTGTTGAGGGACGAGATGTCTCCCATATGTGTGCAAGACTTTGAACTTGGATATTAACATATTTCTTTGTCTCTTATCACTTTAAATTTAGTACTTTTCTTCATTACCAAGTTATTTACACTTAAATAATAAAGTATGAAATGTCATGGTCTATCTTGACCATGATTAATGTAAGGACCTAACAAGTAAGCCCGTTCATCCAAGAAACCTTCTAATACCAAATCCATGGGATAACCAAACATGACATTTGAGAGAGTGCCTTATCTAAATAAGTATGCATGTATATATAATTAAGTTCAAAGTATATTTCAATTGAAAATTTATAACATTTTCCAAATACATGTATGTGTAAAACCATTCAAAATCATCGTATATTAGCATATAGTATGGCAATCAATAACTAAGTATAAACATTTATTAAAAAATACATTTAATCAAAATAATATATGACTCAATTTTAGTGACTCAACAAAAGATGAGTATCCTCCACAAATGCATAGACGTCCATTTCTAAAATGAATAGACACAAAGCCAATTATGATCAAACATTAAAGTAATAGAGTTATTTGAGCTAATTTTTATTTATCTAACGGTTCTAATTCAATAACCTTCACTTCAAATTTTAGTACCTACTTTGGAACGAGGGAAGGAGCACCGTCAATCCGTGGACATATGGAAGGAAACATGGAAAAGGTGGCAGCAGTAGTGGTCCACTCGGTCTCATCATCAATGATCCAATCCAATAGTAACATAGAAACAGACAGACAGTAGAAGTTTGAGCGGAGAACAGCAAAACCAAATCCACTGATTTCAGATCAGAGAAAATTTGGTTCTCATTTGATCATAATCAATGGACTTAACCCGTTGCACTTTCTGCTTCCAATATGCCCCAAAGCTCATCCCTGCAACATTGCGCCGGCAGACCACTCCAAAACCTAACTCGAGAACAGTCTCCAACAACCATGCAACAACATCAACCATTAGGATGGTGGTTAAAGCGCGAGGAGGAAGGGGTGGAGGAAGAAGAGGAGCGGCAGACGCCGATACTGCAGTTGTTGAGAAGCCAAAGAAAAAGAGATTTCAGGTATCGGAGGGCCATCCTGCGCCATTCGGTGCCACTCTTCGAGACGGTGGCGTCAATTTTGCGATATATTCGGCCAATGCCGTTTCTGCTACTCTCTGCCTCATTACCCTCTCGGATTTGCAGCAGGTTACTTAATTATCGATGTTACGTTTCATTATTTAAGTTCAGCAATTGGTGTGTTAAATGTTGAAACTTCTGGCTGCTTTGGTCGTTCAAGAATAAGCAAATAGTTAAAATGTGCTAATACTCATTCCAACGTAATTACGCCATAAAATAATGCAATTTGATTTTCATCAAAGTTAAATTTTTAATTATTTAAGCATATTAGTTACTTTTGTATCCAAGTCCACTTTTTACTTCCTCTAAAATAACAGCCAAACTGAGTCATATAGCAGGTTTTCCATTTGATTAAGGGAGTTGTTTCTTTTCAGAATTAGCTGCTTTAAATAAATGGATGCTTGATAATGAATTTGTAGAGTTTAAAATTATAATAAAATAAGGTTTGTTTTTGGTGATTGATTTGGATAAAAATGACTGTTTTGGCATCCAGAATAGAGTTACAGAGCAGATATCTCTTGATCCATTGACAAATAAGATTGGAGATGTCTGGCATGTATTTTTGAGAGGAGACTTTAAAGATATGCTATATGGCTACATATTTGATGGCAAGTTCTCTCCCAAAAAAGGTCATTATTATGATTCTTCCAAGATACTCTTGGATCCATATGCGAAGGTAACATGGGCCTTTTACTTATATTCTGTTAGATAAGACTTTATATTGACCAAGTTTCCTTTTTTTCTTTTTTTTTTACTTTGTTGGTTCTCTTGTAATTTCGAACACTGATTTCTTGTCACTTTTCTAGGCAGTTATAAGCAGAGGGGAGTTTGGGGCTTTAGGGCCTGAAGATAATTGCTGGCCCCAAATGGCCTGCATGGTGCCTACTTCTGAAGATGAGGTAATTAATCCGAATTTATTGCTATACTTCAGTGAAATGATGTTGTGAGAGCAAATGTAGGTATATCTTATGATTGTGGGCTTCTTCATGACCTTTGTCTGAATCTTTCAAGCAATTTCTGCCTCATACTTGTTTCTCAAAATTTTGGTTCGGTGAGGGGGTGGTGTACTACCCATTCTTTTTTCATTGTTCTCAACTTATGGCACATTTTAGCACATAATAAAGCGTGGTTTGCTCATTGTAAGGATAACTGCATTGAAATCTCTTTTTAAGTTTACTTCTAGAAACTGGTGAAGAAAAGGAAAAAGCTTTGTGGAAAAACAATAAATAAATCAAAGACCGTAGTCCATAGGTCTTCATCATCCCATAGAGTTTTAATCTCTAAGTTTTATTTGTAATAGATTGCCTTCTTTTCATACTCTCTTCCCTCTGGGGATTTTCTTTTAAATATTTGGATATACCTCTTTCCTTGTGTTTCTTACATAGTAATATGTGGATTTCCAAGCAAGAAATCACATTTTATGGGAATGAAAGAGAAGACTAGTTGTTGGAATGCAGGACTTGGGAGCTGTCATCGAGGGGAGTAATGGGTATGGAAGTGAAAATAATTTTAAAGCTTCTAACTTCTGCAGACAGAAATTTGGAAGAGGAATTATTGTAGCGATGGTCACTACATTAATCAAAGGCAATCTTACAATAAATTGAGTGACCTTCAGAATGAGAATGCGAAATGTTTGCATTGGTTGCAAACAGAGACGTATTCATGGAATCATGTTGTGTGTTCTAGGGAACACATAAGTAGCAAGGAGGGTAGTTTTTTTGTAAAGTTTCAGCTTGAGCCCATAATGCCAAAATCTTCAGCTAAAAGTCTGCAGCAGTGCATCTGCTAGCAACCTACTTTTATTTGTGTAAAGAGTTCCATATTGCCCTCTGTATTTTGTGGTATTCTAAAATGCCTTCAATGTATTAAAGAGTTTCTTCTAGTGTAATCTGAAATGCTTGCTATGAGCTCCAACTGTTACATCTGTGACTTCTTCTCCTAGGTTCGGTTCTTACATCCCTCAAAATTTGATAGCAAATACCCTCATAGCTGGCAGTCACCTACTTTTTATATATTTAAAATACTTCTTTATGCCCGGGTGGGATTATGAAAGGCCTAAAATTTTATCTTATATCTTGTAATATTCTTTACTGTTTTCTTTTGGCAACCTCAACTACTATCTATATACGTAAATATACATACATACACATGTATGTATACACACACACACGTATTTGTTTGTTTGTTTACGTGGATGTAAGTTTATATGTACGTATATATGTATGCATATGTATGTATGTCTGTGTATTTAAATTTTGGAGTTTGACACTTGTCTACTATGGACACAGTTTTGTGCAACTATGACTGATTATCTATGAAAAATTTATAGGAAAATAGAATACCGTGAATTGAAAGAAATAAAGATGCAAACTTATTATTGTTGTTGTTTTTTATTACGTATAAGATATGTATGGTGGTGTCCCCATGCAATCTGTCATGGTTTTTGAATGCTCGACTTTGTGATTCATCGTCGCTTAGGATACTATTTCTAAATCAATATATTTGACTTTTTAATTTGAACTTTGATTTGTGTATTTGGTTATTTGATATTTTCAGTTTGACTGGGAAGGTGATTTGCCTCTGAGGTATTCACAAAGAGACCTCATCATATATGAAATGCACGTTCGAGGATTTACAAGGCATGAATCAAGCAGGACAGAGTTTCCTGGTACTTACCATGGTGTGGTGGAGAAGCTTGATCACTTGAAGGTAGAGATTATAGCATTTTATAGAACAATATGAGGTCCTTTCTCCAAAAGTTTTACTTCACTTCAAATGATGGTTTCTTAGCGATAATTCCTAGATATATTAGTGGTAACAATATCCGTTGGTGCCTTATGAGTATATGCTATGCATAATGGTGGCTATATGAAAGAATCAATGGAGTCAGTCCCAAAAAAAAAAAAAAGGAACAAAGAGAGACATTTTGATAAACTATCATGCATAATTATGTGAAGTTTCAAAAGGGAAATTTTCATTATGCTGTTTTGCCATTAAGACTAAAATTCATATGATTGCTTAAAAACTAAGATGCCGAAAAGAAACAGTTTAGATGAACTGATTGATTGTTGTGTCCTTTTTGCTTTATCACTTTTTTCTTGAATTAAAATCTTCCATATAATTTCTTTTTGAATATATATATTTATGTATATATGTACAGTGTGAGTGTGTGTGTGTGTGTGTATTGTTGGAGGCATTTGAGCGGAAGTGCCTGAGGACAAGATATAGTGCTTCAATGTATTGGAAAGGAAAGAAACTCTTTAAGGCCAAACTGTGTTAGCATTTGGTGATGGTGTCATTCTAAAGAAGGGTTGTTTGGTTTTGCTAGGTGGCTTACAAATTTCCTTACAAGGGAGCAAAAAAGGGTTACAGGCAAGGGCAAGATAGATTGTATTGATTCAATGATTGGTAAAAATTCCTAGAAAGATTATGAAGTGGACTAGGTTAGAAGAAAAAAATAAATATGTAAATAGGTTGGTTATAATTAAGGAAAAAAAGATCTAATTTTTGTTTAATAATTTTTATAGAGGAAATTCTAGTGAGCATATGCCTTTTTTATTTGTCATCTTTTGTGATTCTTAGTGCTTCTAAAAATTTGCAATCTACTGACAAAGATCTAAGGGTGGGAGATAGGAGTGTTAATATTTCATGTTTCTACTTGTTATTGGCTTGGCAAGCCCTTAATGTTAGATGCAATCTTACTTGTGAGGGTAAAATTCCCCTTTCCCCCTTCCCTCCAAAATTCCTAAGGAAGAACTTGGGGTTCTCTTAAAAAAATAAATATGGGTTCTCAAGAGCAAGTGCTGATATGATGCACTTTTCATCCAATTTTTGGTTTTCCATGTCGTTTAGGTAACTGTATTTTGGGATGACCTTTCATAGTATACTCAAGTTTGTTTTTTACATTTTCTTTGGTTGTTGCATGTAAGTTTCTCTATTCAATTAGAAAAGTTAAGGAGGATAAACATTGATGCTTGCTCTATGTAGAGGAGTCAAACGGGCACTCATGACATAGATTGGCCCATCACTTTCTTGGCTGTGCTGGCATGGTGTTGCTACAGCAATGGGTTGTGCTAGGTATGGCCAAAAGGTAGGGCCGAGCTGGGTCAAGGGTCTGTGGCCCTTCAAGCTGGCATGGTGCCTGTGGCACACAGGATTGCACATCATGGCTTGTGGTCCATTTAGGGGCATTACGGTAAGCCTAGTGCAACCCAACACTTCTATAACTTTTTTGCCTCTTTTTGTTTCTAAAATAATTTTTTTTAATAAATAATCGAAAGCAAATTCATAAATAACTAATTTACGGAAGTCTTTTAATTAGAACTTAGGGGGGATCTAAATGCTCATTAATACTTTAAAAACGAACTAAAATCTTATTTAGAAATATTTTAAAGATAAAAAATAAAAATTAGACAGATGGTGCTTGGCCAAGCTTACCCAGACCCTTTGCCTTTTTGGGCTGGGCTAGCACAACCATTAAGATGAGCCATGCCTGGTCATCACTGTAGCGTGCTGGGATGACCCAACACAACTTTTTTGACACCTCTAGTTGTTTATGAAATCTCAAATATTTAACTTGTATTTTTATATGTGCCATATAGCTATATTTTTTTGGACAAATGTTTGAAAACAAAAACTTTCAAAATATATGGCATCCTAGCTTATAAGATCTTAATTTTGAAAGAATTTAAGATAATTTGATCCAAAAGTGAGCTTGACATAGCTAATAAATTCTTAACTATGGCATGTTATAATAGTAAAAATGAAAAAGATGAATCAACTAGATGTGCCAACTTGAAATGGTTTAGTTATTAAAGCATCTTTACCTAAAACAACCCTAAACCCATAGTTTGAGGACATTTTAAGAAATGAAACCTAAATTAGCATGGTCCAACAAGACTTGAGATTCAAAATGACTTTGAGATGTGAAGGGATTGAACTTGAAATTGCTCGGGTTAAAATTATGCAAAAGCTAGAACAACTTGATAGATGAAAGTACTCGAGCTTGAAAATGACTCAACAAGAACATGACAACTCAATAAGACCTATGCCTAAATGAAGTAAACCTGAAATGATCCAGCCTGCCCATATGGCAGCTGCATTGCTGAGTATTAGAATTGCCTTGCATTTGGGTTTCCAAGGATGGCGCTCCCTTGAAATTGGAGTCTATTGATACTATTTTAGGCAGATTAAGATGTAGGTTTGTCATTCGCTTTTTTTTTTTCTTTTTTGATTCTTTTGTTCTTTTGTTCTTCTTGTTTTGTTTTTTAAATTTTTTGAGATTGCTCTAGTATGTGTTCTTTAAATGTGGAGTTATGTTCTGTCTTCTGGTCCCTCATTTAACTTATTTTTGTTCATCTATAAAGGAACATCGGTAGTGTTATGTTTTTATTATTTAAAGGAGTTCAATTATTTAGTTTGCCAAGATTGCAATTTGTTGCTCTTGGGGTTATGAAACAAATGGGACTAAATTGCTTCAAGGCGAAATGATGGCTGAACCTGGGATGTACAAAATAGTAAAGTCTAAAAGATTTTAGGACTTCAAACATTTGAATTGGTTGAGTACATAATGAAACTATAGATGAGGTTTTGTTGAGACAAGTCAATGAAGTAGTTGGTTTCAGATTTTAGAGCTTTGGTCCAGCCAATAATGTTGGGTTTTGGCATTTGGTCAGCTCTCATGGCAGGTACTGCTTAAGAGAATATGGTTATGAAGCATTCTATTTTTGGATAAATTGAGTAAATTGCACTCATAGTCCTCGAACTTTAAGTCACATATCATTTTAAATCTTTGTAGTTCAAAAAGTAACTTATTGGTTCATATATTTCTAATGTTATAACAAAAAGATCCTTCTGCTAGTGAATCTGTCAACCCAATTGGTAATTGCTTGTTGGAAACACGTGGCAGTTGACATGTCAACTGATACTTACAAAATTGCTTTGTTGGACTATTTATTTAATTTCATTGCACCTATAGTCCCTAAAGTTTGAATTGCAGATCAAACTGGTCTCCATATTTCAAAAAAGGATTAGCATTTGGGTTTTCTTATATTAGGTTAATAGTTTTTTAAATTTTATTTTAATTTTTATATTTGGTTTTGTAGTTTTCAAACGTTTTTATTTGGGCTTTCTATATTGGTTTACTTTTTTTTTATATACTCACATTATAATAATAATATACTAGATTTTGTAAAAAAATTTCATGTTATAATTTAAATCGATTTTATCAAAAGATGTTATTATAAATATACTTTACTATTAAACAATTTTAACAAAAAGAAAAAATGGATAATAGTCTTTTAATATTACAATTTAAATTAATTTCCTTAAAAGTATTTTTGTGAGTTATTTTTTTTTACATTTTGGGGTGGTTTTGTGGTTATTTTTGATAAAATAATATTTTTTCCAAGTTCATTTTGGCATTATTAGCAAATTATTATTTATAATAAGATCATTTTATAAAATCATTTCTAATTATAATTTTATTTTTTGTAAAATCTATGCCATTATTGTTATTGTTATTTATATTGGCGTATATAAAAATTTTTAAACTCAATATAAAAAACCGAAGTATGATTAAAAGTTATCAACCAATAGTAAAAAATCCAAATGTTAAAACTAAATCTTTACCATTTTTGAATTAAGGGGCCAATTTGATATATAATGGCAAAGTTTTATAGACTACAGGAGCAATAAAATTAAAAAAATGATTTTCAACAAAGCAATTTTGCATACATCAACTAACATTCCATCTGCCTCTAGTCACCAACTGGCAGTTAACTGCTAGGTTGATAGAAACACTTGCAGAGGGATCTTTTTATTATACTATTGGAAGCATAGGGACCAATAAGTGACTTTTTGAGCTCTAGGAACCAAAATGATACGTGAGTCAAACATTGGGAGCCATGGGTGCAATTACTCAGATAAATGAAGTCCAATATTTCTTTAGAGTTGTAAAAGCAATGACACTGAACTCTTAATGGTAACTGTTTGCATTCACTTTGTATAAATTATTCTTTTATAGGTACACTAGTGCACATATTGAGCTAATGTTATCCAAAGCAGTTGTTACAGCATCTGCTTTTTCCCTGTTCAAGAGAGTGTGCCTACTTCAGTTTACTGAGAACAATGAAATGATTTGTTTGCTCTTAACTGGAGTACAAGTTTTGCTTCAGTAGTTGAGCTAGTAACTACCATACCTTACACTTCATATTTTAGAGTTGCTACAACCAACCAATTGTGAGTCATGTCCTTCAGATGCATTATTACTTAACAGCAGGATGTTTTAGTGGAGACATTATGAAGTAACATAATAAGAATTATTACTTGCTTTGTGTATTTATTGGGTGTTTATTTGGTTTGCAGGAACTCGGAGTCAACTGCATAGAATTAATGCCATGTCATGAATTCAATGAGTTGGAGTACTACAGTTACAATTCTGTCTTGGGTGACTACAAGTATGACATTTCAACCTTTGATTTAGAGCTGTTTTTGGATACTGTGCAAGATTTAATTAAGTAGTGACTGTTTTGGGAAATTTTTTTTTTTATCATTCTGTTCAATTAAACAAGCTCCAAGACCCATGAAATATGATAATTCTTTTTACCTCAAAGTTCCCTGATGGTAAAGTACATTCAAATCTGCTAAATTTTGCGATGTATAACAGAGTCAGGAAATTCTGCCTACTTAGTGTTCATCGTGGGGAAAAATTAGGGATTAAGGGTTCATAACTTTGTAGGAATCTAGGTTAGAATGCATGAATCACTTGTGGATTGATTCAGTTGAGTTTAGATCTGAAAGAGGGCGGAAATTGAAGGAAAGTGATGCTGGAATATCTGGGCTGCGATACTAAGATGAAGAAAGTTTGTGAATGCTATTCCTATGCCGTGAGCTGTATTTCGATGTACTGTAGTAATATAGATATGAAAAGAGAGAAAAATACCTTCTCACGATTTATCTAACAATTCTCAAAATAATTTTATCAAAATTCAACTTCACCGAATTTGGTAGTGCAAAGAGATTTAAATAGACAAATACTAATAACTCTCCTTGGAATACGATTCTGAAGGTCATTAGGGCCCATTTGGTGGGCAGTTAGGATGGCGCCATGTGTTGCCACGCAGAATAGTCCAGAAAATTCAGAAAAGTTTGCTGGCTATGTAGAAATAGAAGACATTTCAGAAACCACAAGTATCAATCTTCTAAACAAGGCAGAATAGTCCCGAAAATTCAGAAACGTTTTAGAAAAAAAATCCAATTCCCCGGGTGATATTAGAAACTGAAACACAGATTGATTTAGGAGAGATGCCTACTATTGAAAAGCCGAGGGACATAAATGGAATGCTGGATTTTTGTTCAGGTTGCCTTAATTGAAAGGAGTAACTATTTGGCCTCTTTGTAAACTTACTAACAAGGTTCTGAAGTATGAAAAGTTGTATGTTGGCATCATTTTGCCATGTTTAATGTAGAAATATCATGTTGCCTGTTGGCAACTTGTTGTCATACTTACACCTAGGTCCTTTTTATTTTCAAGGTTGAACTTTTGGGGATATTCAACAGTCAATTACTTTTCTCCCATGATAAGATATTCATCTTCTGGTATGTGTAACTGTGGTCGTGATGCAATCAACGAATTCAAATATCTTGTTAAAGAAGCACATAAACGAGGAATTGAGGTCAGAGCTGATTCCAATCTCAATAAGCAGTTCCTTTTATGAAACTTTTTAGTGGTTTTCTCATTGGATTTTATTTGAGCAGGTCTTCATGGATGTTGTTTTCAATCACACAGCTGAGGGCAATGAGAATGGTCCCATTCTGTCTTTTAGAGGTGTTGATAACAGTGTCTATTACATGCTGGCGCCTAAGGTATAACTGTTCAATCCCTTGCAAATGCTTTACTGTCAATGTCCCTTGTAAATGCTTTACTGTGTATGTATAATGCACACAAACGCACATATGCTACTGTTGCAGTTGTATCTATGCCTGAATAAGTTAATAAACCTTAATAGGTAATATCAATGGCTACTCCTTTATATAAACACAAGAGAGTAATGTTGCTATCATATTTTCAATTTATTCATTGTTGGTTGTCATTCATTTTGTTGACTTCGTATCATTTTCTAACTCTTATGATGACTATCTCATGATATCTTTGTTAATATTTGATGATTAATATTTCTGTCTCCACCAAATAGAGAGTCATGGAGGGAATTGTCTTTTACATTGTGTCAAGGGAATCGAAGTCGGACATTTATCTTACATTCAAATTAATAATAAAGCTGCTTCTTCCTCTGGGAAAATTCATCAAATTTTTTGTTTGCAAGACTATAATCTTAATGATGGATTTGTCACTTGTCTACATATTAGTCTATTCTATAAGCGTGTAGCATAAAGAGGAAGGAAAAGCAAATTGTTTGTGGTTTCAAGGTTCAGCATAACCCAACTGTTCATATGAAATATAGTTGGTTAGTTATGTTTCTAGGGACCTCTTAGGTTGGGTTTTGTTATATTTCCCCATATTTCACTAAGTTGTTGATCTTATTGATATCTATGTTTAAGTCTGTCATCACTCCTTATTCATCAGCCTTGTCATTTCCTATTTTCTTACCCTCAATTTTAGATGTTAATATTGATTTTACTTTGAATTAGTTAGTTGTTATATTCCATTTAACCATGTCCTGAACATCTATGTAAGTGACCACTGACATTGGTTTCTAATATATATGACAATGTGGTGTTGGTTTGGGGGACAACTAGGCTAGGTTTAGCATTACTTAATGACATCTTCAACAATCTTGTCTAGTTCGGAGGGCAAATTGTTTAAAAATTAAAATCATTATTGGAGAAGGATTAACTTGCACTGGGTTCAAGTGTTTTATATATATATATATATATATATATACGTACACATATGCATACTTACATATGTATGTATGTATGCACACACACACACACACACACACACACACACACATATATATATATATATATATATATAGACACAGAGAGAGAGAGAGAGAGAGAGAGAGAGAGAGATAAAAGGAGGAATTTCACTCCAATCAGGCAAGACAAAAGCAAGAAATGGCCCTCCTCTCCTTCAGCAGCAGGCATCAATTCACATGCTAGAAGAAGGTGAGAATTTTGGCAGCAAAGAAGTCAAAATTCTATTGAAAACATGCAAGAAAGCACGAGCCAAAACATTAAAAAATATTTGCCTAGATGGAGTTGGGTTCTAGTTTTGCCTAACATTGATGGTGCTGACCGATGGAATCACTGCCTACGCAGGTCTTACTACCAGGACAACAACCTCAGCAACTCAACAAACTCAGCAATAAAAATAATTTAAGTTGAATTCAAAATTTTCCCCTAATTCTTCCTTCTTGGCTCTAATGTGGAGAGGATGGGATGGATGATGTTGCAAAGGATATTTGAGAAATAAATTCTTCTAAATTATATTTGAATATTTGAACAAAATTTGAATACAAGAGTTTTAGATCTTGTGCTCAAAGTGACTCTTGTAACCTCTTGAATGAGCTAACGAGAGAGAATTTAAAAAGTGGAAAACCTGGGTTAAAAATGAATTGGGAGCCCTTTATATATAGGAAGGGTCCTTACTATATTGTTTAGGATTGGGAGCTTAGACAATTAATTTTGCAAAACGTAACTTCAATTAAGTGAACAACAAAAACACATATTAAATGAAATGCTGTTAGAAACATCAACTCTAGAATCTGAACAAATTTCAAATTCATAAAATGATTTTCGAATTAATGCCATACAAACAACTTTTGAATCTGAGAAGGTCAAATAAATATCTTAACGAAAGATTAAGAATTTATGCTAGAAATAATAGACAAGATCAAGATCTAAATATTAAAAAGGAATACTTAGAAAATCATAAAACAGAACTCAATCAAACATCAACTCGAGATATTATTTCAACATCTCAATAAATGCACAATATAAACAAATTTTTTAGTTGGCAAATATGAAGACATGAAACCAAAAGAAATAACAAACCAAGACCTGCAAATAGAAGAGAATCAAATTAAAACAGATATAAAAGAACTAGAGAACTTCCAAGTAGAGATACAAAAACTAGAGAAAAACCAAGAGAAAGACCACCAAGAAATTAAAAGATTAAAACAAGCTAAACATGATTCCTCTGACTCATCTTCAGATGAAGAACAAAATCAGGAATATCCATAAGAAAAGTGTCAAGAATATGTGCAAATGATCACTCAAATTTCCATTCAATGATAGTTAATCAAATTATATTATAAACTCCCAGATGCAAAAATCTGCAAGAACAGAATTAAAATAAAAAAATCCATTCATGTTGATCAAAGACATAATGCAAAATATTATCATTGTTGTGTCATTCATAAATATTCTCAACCTTACACAACTTCTGTTGAATGTATATAAACAAATATTTTAGGCACCAAATTATTCTTTGAATTCATAGGAAAACCCAAAAACGAAGCATAAATTTGTTAAAAGCCTTAACGGTCAAATCACAATGCATAAATCACTTTATACAAGATAAGGAAAAACAAATTTCCATTTCTTTAAAAGGGATAGAAAATAAATTACAAACCACACAAATGCAAACGAAAATTGAACCAATCCAAAATGAATAGAAAATGTTTAGATCTCCCAAAATGCATTCTGGTAAAGAAAAAAGCTTATGGTAGATTTACTGTAAGATAAATACTTTGATGAAAAACAAACTCCAGTTAAAACTAGAACAATTCAATGAACCAAGAGTTAGAAGAACTCTGTAGAAAAGAGATTAAAGATTTCTTACAGTAAAAAGTTAATTAGAAAAATGTAGTTCTCCTTCGAGTTGTTCTGCATTCTATGTGATGAAAAATGGTGAACTTGAAAGAGAAGCTCTGATATAATGAGTTTCGAACCTCTCAAGAATGCACTCAAATTGATTCCTACCAAATGCCATATAAAAGCAATTTGTTGTAAAAAATTTATGATGCGAAGATAAATCTGGATTCTGACAAGTCCAAATAACAAGAAATATAGAAAACAGCATTCACGGTCAGAATCTGTCAATTTGTTAAATGACAATACTGAAGTGGAACAAATTCAGGTCAAATATCCACATGGGCTGAAATTTCTGACTTTGAGAGAAAGGAACAAGAAAAAGGAGAAAATGGATATTGTGCATCATCTTCCTCCAAATCAAATGAGAGATTTCTTTTCGGCAAATCACAAGTACAATCCATTACCAAATTTGTGGAATCCTTTTGCCAATGTCAGGAATTAGCCTTGGCCCTTTCCCAAGAAAAGGAGGAAACTCCTATGAAACAGGCTGCTGAACAGCCCTGACATTTCAAAAAGTAAAGAGATCGTAGTGTAGATGTTTTTACACTATTTCCCCAAAAACAGAAGTGGTAATTTCTGGATCCACTTCCAAATTAAAGCCAGTCCAAAATGTTTCCCTAAAAGAACTTTACAAACTGTTATATTGGTAGAAGAAAGATTCTTCCATGAAAATCCAAATGTTGCTATAAAATTGTTTTCAAATGATGGCAATTTAGATAATGGGATGCCTAGAACCCTCAAGAATATTATGAAAGCATCAAAATATTGAATAGAATCTAATGCCTTTTGGTTTGAAATGTGCTCCATCAAAATTGCAAAGAATAATTAATGAAATATCCAATTCTTATTCCCAATGCACTGCTCTATACATAGATGATGTATTAGTGTTTTTGACATGTCTTGAATAACATTTCAAACGCTTAAATACATTCAATCAAATTATCCCAAGAAATGGCTTAGTGGTATCTAACTTCAACCTTAGCCTTTTGTAAATAAATTTATATATATTGGAGATGCATACTTTTGCCACATCAATTGTTTCAATAAATATTTTATTTTTGTTGATCATGCATGTCAGATTTTCAAGCATTGAATTTTCTAATGTTCTCATTGGTGTCATAAGACTTTTACTTGCAAACAGAACAAAAGCAAGCTTCTTTGATGGAATGGTTATAGATATCTTATTGGCTGCAAATTTGGCTATGACATACATGAACTAACTCCAATAGTTGTGTTGTTGTTACAAAAAAATGAAAATAAAGGAAAAAAAAAAGGTCTTGTGGAAAATGAACTAAACGAAGAACTATACTAGTAAGAGTTGCTAGATCTAACATTTCAGTGTCAATTGATCCTGCCTTTACTGTGTTTGGTTCCTTATTATGATTCTCAGGTCAATGATCACTATGACGTCAATCTCATTTTATGGTTTTTCAGGGAGAATACTATAATTATTCAGGTTGTGGAAACACATTCAATTGTAACCATCCTGTGGTGCGTCAATTTATATTAGACTGCTTAAGGTAGATGAACCAAAATTGTTTGTGCCATGCTATTTCAATTCTTGCAACTTCTTCATATTGGTCTTATCTTTTTGGGCATAAATTTTTTGTTCATTTATTCCTGGAAATTTTTTTATATGATAGTCTTCACTTTCAAGTGGAAAGAGCAATAGAAACAAATATTGGGGATACTAGAAACATTTGGGCAGCCTCTTGTATTTATTTAAATGCAAAAGACAGGACTACCCTTTTGCATAAGACACCAATAACACTCCCTCTCAAGCATTTCGGATATAAATCAGTCTTGGATGTCCTAAAGGACTGCAAAGCAAGTCCACTAACTGACCTGCTGATTTCATTAGTCTTGTGCAATGTCATTTTGTTAAAGTCTCTGTCTAGCTTTATGAAAATCAACTTCAATATGTTTGGTTCATTGAGGGAAACTTAGGATTAGATGCAATATTTTGAGGTGCTTGCTTGTTAAAATCCAAAATCCATGGGCTTGAATATTCAAATCATAGCTTCTCTATCATTTCTTTTAACCAATCTAATTCACAAGTAGTTAGAGCAATAACACTGTACTTAGATTCAGAACTTAATCTCACAACTGTTGCACTTCTTGCTTTTCCACAACCCTAAATTTCCACCATATAAACTAAATCCTGTAATAGATTTTCAATCATCAGGAGATCTGACCTACTCTGCATTGCAGTTATCCTCAATATAAGTATGGCCATGGATCTTATAAAGTATACCTCTACCTATGGTGCCAGTTAGATAACTCAAACTGGTGCATCATAGCACGCCAATGACTATAGTCCTGGAGCATCAAGAAACTAATTACACTTGCTGCAAAAGAGACATTTGCCGTGTAACTGTCAAACAGTTCAACTTCCCAACTAAAACCTCCTATACTATTTCATAAAACTAGCTATGATCTGCTACAAGTTTAGTATTAGGGTCCATAGCGATATCCATAGGTTAGACTCCATAATCGTTGTCTGAGTCAAGAACATATTTTCTTTGACACAAGTATACTCCCAAGGGAGACCTAGCCACTTCAATGTCCAAGAATTTTCAGTTGTCCCAAATCCTTCCGGATTTTACCAAGCAAGTATAATTTCAGCTCTTGTATTTCCAACACCATTGTCGCTTGTGATGACAAATCTTTAACATAACTATTATTTTACTTGTGGTGTAACAATAAAAATGACAATGACTTCCCATCTTCTTTTAAGTCCAAACTCAAGCACTACATAAAAAAGAATGCATTCTTTTTACATCTAACTGGTGTAATGGCCAATTGAACATGGGTTACATGGCAGACAAGAAAAATAAACAAACTGAACGAAGTTTAACCATAAGAGAGCATGTCTCTGACTAATCCTATGTTATACTTGAGATTAGCCTTTAGTAACTAAGTGAGCTTTATGTCAGCGTATTGTTTGGTTTCTATGTTTGTTAGGCGCACACAACCAGTATCGACCATCCAGTTGCTAGCAAGGAGTGCAACAAGTTCCTAGCAAAGCATTAATTTCCTCTTCAACAGCAGCTCTACTAGAATGAGTCAAAGTTTCACTAGCAAACTTAAAACAGCAACTGTTTCTAATGATTCATGAAGAAATAATAAGTAGGTGAAAAGTAATCATCATTGAAAATTCTCTACCATTACGAAGAGCACTAGGAAGATCTTGATCATTAGAAATGAATAAGATGGAAAAGAAGCCATTGCTGTGGTACCTGCATCCACTAGTAATGCCTCAATTGTCTCAACTCCTTGATGTGGTCAACAGGTTTGCTGTATACCTACCAATTAGGATGATACAAGTGACTGGTGGAGACTCAGAATTCAGTGGAGTAGATAATGGTGGTTGAGAAACTAGCGGTAAGAGGTAAAGACAAGGAGTTCATAATATTTGAGGATTGACAATATCCGGTTCTAGAGATTTGATAAAAACAAAGAAAGTAACACTGAACAGGTAAAGATCCTAATTAGAGTAATGACTGCAATATTTGTAACCTTTTTGTAACTGAGAATATCCCAAAATGAAAAACTTAGAGGTACAAGGATTCAATTAATCATGTCTCGGAATAAGTTGGGGAACAAATTATTACGCCCAATGATATGAAGAAGGAAAACAAAAGAAGGGTCTTGCAGAAATAGGACTGAATGAGGAAATTACCTGTAAGAATGGAGGAAGGTATTTGATTAACAAGATAACACCCACATGATATCCAATCTTTTTCTTTTTCCTTTTGAAAACTGCATCTTTTTGTGAATAATTCTAGATCTGGTTTTAAGAGTGTTGGAGGGCTTGGAACTTATTCTTCAATATCATACTACATAACATGTGAATGTAGATTGAGGTTTTGCTATGGAACACAAAAGCATGAAAAATTGAACAATTTAGAACAATTTTTAATTACATTGAGCCATGTCTTTCTTAATGAAACCACAGTTTTGAGGTTAGATGATGCCATTCACAAATATCATAGTGAACAAGCTGTAAAGAATCTACAACCTGTTTGTTTACTGGGAATCAAAAGGAATTTAATGATGCTTTCCCTGTTGACAAGACTCATTGTCCAATCACATGACCATGGGGACTAACTTCTTCAATTTTTTTTCAAGGAGGGATGACCTAGCTGAAGCTAGGATTTCTATGTCCCCGTTTGCTCAGAGAAACCCATTGCTGATAAGAAAATAAAAATTCTACGGTATTAAATTTTTGCCTACTCCATTAATTGATATTCAGAAAAGATAATTCAATGAATCTAAATAGGATTATTATTGTTTGACAATGTTTAAAATTTTTGTAATGTTTTAATTCTTGGTTACACGATTTTCTTTTTCATTTTTGCACCTTGTAAATTTTATGATCAGAAAGTCCTAATGCTATGTTTCATAAGAGGGAAATGTTGGGGAAGTTGTGAACTGAAGGAAAAAGGCTGGAAGGAGAAAGAGATTTACTTTTACACTTGACCGTTAGATTGAATGTTACAAGAAAAATGAATGCATAATGTAAATTGAAAGATTAGGATCAAATGATCTATTTTTAGTTAGTTCTAGTTTCTCCTTTTTCCTTTATCTTTACAAGGATTGGATTTTGTGGTCTGGAAAGATGTGGACCCCTCTGTTTACCTTAACCCTAGTTTCCTCCTTAGTGAACAGAAGTGGTTCTCTTCTTTTTCTCTTTCATGCATTCTTCATTCGTCCTTTTCCTCATCCTACCAGACAAATGTTATAGAGCAGCAGTTTGCTGAAGAAAGTTAAACATAGATAAGACAGTGCTCAAATATAGAATAAGAATATGACCAAGTTTGATTAAATATTTACCTTTCTTGACTGTTGGCTGTGTTGGTGAAAGTAATTTGCTTTTTTTTTTTCTCTGAAGTTACTTACAGAAAATTATTGAGCATTAGCATAGCATTTAGCCTACTATTTAGACTCTAATCCATTATGTTGTTTCCTTTGAACCCTTCCTTACAAAAGCTAAGGTTCATTATCTTTTTGATTCTTTTCTATCACTGATTTGTTTGTAACAACCCATCATCTTGGAGATCTTAGTGTTTCGTAATTATGCAACAGATATTGGGTGACAGAAATGCACGTGGATGGCTTTCGCTTCGACCTTGCTTCAATTATGACCAGGAGTAGCAGGTTAATCTAAACAAAAAATCAGTACACTTTTACTTCAGTTTGTAAAGGGTCTAATATGCTTTCTGGTGTTCTTTATCCTTCTCTGTTAATAGTCTCTGGGATTTGGTTAATGTATTTGGAAATCCTTTAGAAGGCGACTTGATAACAACCGGTACCCCTCTCAACAGTCCCCCATTGATTGATATGATGAGTAATGATCCTGTACTTCGTGGAGTGAAGGTATACCCTGTATATTGTTTCCTCATTTCCCCTTGTTAAACCTATCCTATCCTCTTATTGCTAACTATTCATCCTTCATGGCGATAGTTTTGAATTGCTTAGGATATCTTGGGATCCAACTAGTCACAAGGGAATGAATTTGCCTTAGGGTTTGGTCAAAATACTTGGTCAGAAAGACTAGTAACACATAGTTGCCTCTTAGTCCATATGCTAATGGAAAGAGCTGTTTCCAATGTTAAGTATATTCCCCTAACATGCTATAAATACTGAGTGAAGTGGAATGAGCTTTTCTTCCCTGGTGAGACATTATGAACATTAAAATCTAAGGAGGCCTAATAATTGCTGGGCCAATTTTGGATTGTTACTACCTAGGATAATGTGAATAATGATGTGAACTCAGATCAAGTGAGACATTTAACTAACTGAGCTAGATATCAAGGTATTTGAATAACTCAATTTGAAACATTTTTGACTACATGGTAAAAAGGAAAAAAACGAAAAGAAAAAAAAAACCTTTTATCAATGAGAATGTCAACTAAGCACCCGCACCCCTCTGCTATTCAATTTAATTGAGTTCTTAACCAATTATTTATACTCAATTAAGTCCTTATTTGGATGGAAACTGGTCTAGTGATGCACATGATCCTAATGTCGGTTAATACTTTGCTAGTGTGGACATATTTAGCATGTTGGTAGTTGTTTACATTGAGCTGAATCATGTTCAAGAATTTTGTTTGCTAACCCCATAAAATAATTTAAGTAAAAGGCTCTAGCACATTGGCAAACTGACCTTGATGTATCTTTCTTCCACTTTCACTATTACATCTCTGATTCATTTATTTCCTTTTGCCCCCTTATTCTCTATTTCTTCTTCCTTTGTTTTTCCATCTGTTTTCATGGCATTACTTAAAGAAAAACTAACCAAATTTCCTTTTGTTTTCCATTTAGCTTATAGCTGAAGCATGGGATACAGGTGGCCTGTATCAAGTTGGCTCATTTCCTCACTGGGGTATTTGGTCAGAATGGAATGGGAAGGTTGGTGCTAATGCTAACGCTTCTTTCTATCACTTCGATTGATCTTTGTGAATATGTGATTCAATAACACCAAACAGTTTAAAGTTTATAGCATCATATTGTGGCCTTTTCTCTATTTCTTTTCTTTTAAGGAAAGTGCTCAATATTTGTTGACTTTTGAGGCTGATGCTTTAACTTTTGAAAAGCAAAGATGTATTTTGTAGTTCAGTGCATGAACCAGAACCTGATTATAGCTTCCTTTCAGCTTCTAAGCATTGAGGAGGTTAATAAATTTTTATCTGGTTCTTGTTCCTACTTAAAGGCATTAGATTTTGTAATGGGCTGAGGGCTGATCATGTACCATTTTCACTATTCTAGCGGTTCTTTGAGCTGATAATCCCTAGCTGAATCCTAAAGTTTTACTTCCACCCACAGTTTATCTTTACAAACCATATTTGGGTACTTGTTTGTCAGATATTGATTTCATTCCTTTCTTAGGTCCAAATATAGCTGAAAATGATAAATCCAAAATCCAAGTAACTCATAGAAGGGGTGGCCTTACCTTTCTCTTTCCATCTAAATTCTTCTGTTTTTCCTGTCTTCCCAGACACACTGCAATTCCTAGTTTAGCTATTCACATTGGACCTACTAGCAAATCCAGCTGACATTAGTAGATGCATCTGTATTTTATTTTCTGGAAATTGTTGTTCTGGAATTGATATGCATATTCCTTTTCATTTCAGTATCGAGACATAGTACGGCAGTTTATCAAGGGTACAGATGGATTTTCTGGAGCTTTTGCGGAATGCCTTTGTGGAAGCCCTAACTTATATCAGGTTTGTCTTCTATGTTCTGCCGTAAGTACACCCTTGGTCATCTATTCAAGTGGATGATTATGGTCTCATTATCTTTCTTATAAGAGCTTTCAATTTTTTAAAAAATATTTTTGAGCTTTAAATTAAAATTTTGCAATTTTTTTTATACTTTTCCCTGATGTCATAGAATCGTCTAAGTTATTAGCCATTTCTTGGAGCAATCTAGCCATACATATGCTCATAGGCAATATTTTTGAACTCCAGAGAGAAGCTCTGTTTTATTGACAGAGTTCTCATTTCCTTGTGTCCTCACTCTTTTGTGAATCAGGAAGGAGGAAGGAAACCATGGAACAGTATCAACTTTGTATGTGCACATGATGGTTTTTCTTTGGCAGATTTAGTTACCTATAATAACAAACACAACTTAGCAAACGGGGAAGACAACAATGATGGAGAAAGTCATAATAATAGCTGGAACTGTGGACAGGTAGGTATTGACTTAGCTGTAAACTCTTGCTTGTATTTGGATGCTTGAGTTTAAGAGTGCAATGAGGTCACCAACATGGCCGATGATTATATGAAATTAACAGAGGATAGAAGGTTTCCAGCTCAGTGACATTATGGCTTGTATGGAGATGTACAAACATTATGGTGGCCTGTGTACTTGGTGGATCTTTATTGACATGCATCTAATAATGACATATTGCTTTGGTTTTTCTAGCTTTGCTCCTCCATTTACACAGTACCATATTATTGGATACATTCTGTGATGTAACTGACTCTATACTGGCTCATATACCTGATGCACATATTTTTATCTGCATCTTAGAATAATAAGGGAAACATCAGAACATTTTATAGTTGCTTCCTAGCATTTCTCATCCACCTTACGAGATATATTGAATCTTGAAACCATTGTATGCACAAATCATATTTTTGGCTTTTGATGCTTCTTTCTTTGCATACATATTTTCCTATTTCTTTCCATATCTGTCAGTTTTGCAAAATGAAAAAAGCATCTTTTGATTTTTTATTCATGATGTGAAGAGACCATATTTGCTTATCGAAAATAAAAGAAGAAAGAAGAAGAAGAAGATAGAAAGATATCATGTGCTTCTTCTACTTCGCTACCTTTTAACACAGATTTGAGCAGAGCAAAATTTGGAGCATAAAGCAAGTGACCTTTTACCCAAAAAAGTCCAAAAGAGAAACAAATGCTTTTGATGGTTTAAAATGCTTGAAGAAGAAATATCGTGAGAGAAAGCATGCCATGTCAAACTAATTATTTCTTTATAGCGTTTTATTAGTTGATCAATCTCTGACAATTTTGACGTTAGATGTGTTGAGGAAAAACAAAATGAAGAAAAAAATTGAAGCTAGTGAAAATTTACATTCCATATCATGGTCTTCATTAGTTAATTTGGAGTTCATCAATATTGTGATTGGTAATTGGAAATACAACTAGATGGAAATGCTATGAAACACCGCAAAAGGAGATCTTATGGGGGGGGGGGGGGGGGTTGGTTTATTCAAAGTTGATTCAGTCAGTCATTTTTTACATGATTTGTATCTATAACTTTGTGCTTTTAAGCGAACTAAACTGGCGATCATAAAGCATAACACCATTAATTTGGTAATTTTACGAAGTTACCTTTTTATGCATTCAAGCTCATATGAAAAACTTTTCTGCAACTGTCATGCATGACATTCCTGCTACTGTCATGCATTTTATTCCTGCTACCTAATGTTCTTACTTGGCATGTAGCTTTATTTACTCTATTAACTTGTAGACATGGTTAATTAGGAGGGTGAGTTTGCAAGAATTTCAGTGAAGAAACTGAGGAAACGCCAAATGCGGAATTTCTTCCTCTGCCTTATGGTTTCCCAAGTAAGGTTATTACTCACATTGGATTATTCTTTTTCTGTTTGGAACAATAATTATTAGTATATGAATTGGATTAGAAACCAGGATTTGAAATTTTGCTTAATTTTGTTATATGTGCAAACTTCATTTGTAATACGAATCAATAAAAAGGTTTTAATTGATAATTTCAAAAAATGATCTCAAGTTTGAGCTAAGCTAACAATCAAGATTCAATTTTTGTTGTAAATACTTGAGCTTCAGGTCCAAAATTTGGGCTTAATTAAAAATCAAGCTTAAATATCCTTTTATAAATGAGCTTGCGTTCAATAGTACGAGCGTTGGGTCTTCATCTGAGCTTGAGCTCAGTAAAAACATAATTGAAAGCTGGCCTCTAAAGATCCTTATCATAGAGTTTGAGGTTCAAGTGAAAAATCTTCAATCCAAGAGTCCCATTTTGTAGTGAATAGAAACATAGATAATCAAAATAATCTATGCTCCCTTTGAAACTTTGGGCTAAAATTTTAAGTCTGGGTTACACGTTGGAGACAAAGACCACAATTTGGCTGTCTGTTCACCTCCCATTTAAAGCTGATATCGCATAATGTGAAAATTGCAATCAGTTTGATTGGCACAGCCTAAACAAATGACCATGAAACATTTGCAGGGTCCAATTTGAAAATTGAAGTCAGAGGATGATTTAAAGATTGGTTCAAACTTTGGAGCCATTTGTGTGTAGTACTTGTCACCTATGAAGCATAGAGATGTCATCTACTGTGATGTACTGATGTCAGACACACACACCTCTGACAGAGCGGGATACATGTTGGACATCCCAAAAAAATTTTAAAAAGAAAAGATTGGACACACAAGTCACGTTTGGACATGTTATGGAGGTTTTTTTTCTTTTGCATTTTCCTTCCTAAATTTGGAGTCAAATTTAGAGCAAAAAACCCAGATCAACCCATCATTAAAATCAAGATTTTTGAACCCTGTAAAAGATATTAATATGTTTATGGTCATGGAACGTTGACCTTCCCATACATATCTACTTTATTCTTTTTGGTATAGTTTTTACATACATTTTTGTGATTATTTTTCGTATACTTTTAACATACAATTTTGTTTAATTAAATTTGCAAGACAAGAGAGCTCTGTGAAGAAATTGATTATATTTGAATAAAAGGAATCAATATTTATATTTACATGGAATAATTTTCATTGTCGTGTCTTGCCATGCCCCTGTCTCAATTTTAAGAAATTGCCGTATCACCATGTACATATTGTGTTATACCCATATTGTGTGTCCATGTCCATGCTTCCTAGCTTTTCACTAAATTATTTATTCCTTTAGCTTGTGGTGGGAATTTAATCACCCTTGATTATTTGCTGCTAACTAAGATCTTCATCTAACCAGGGTATCCCAATGATTTGCATGGGTGACGAATATGGTCACACAAAAGGGGGAAACAACAATACATACTGCCATGATAATTATGTAATCCTCTATACCATCATGACCTCCGTAGATTATGTCAACCCTGATTGTTGATTATGTTTTCTAATTATTAGTCATAATACAGATTAACTACTTCCGTTGGGATAAAAAGAAAGAGTCTTCATCAGACTTCTTCAGGTTCTGCTGTCTCATGACCAATTTCCGCCGGTAAGCACCTATTTTGAGTCAGTGAACTTGCCTCCCTAATTTTCTTTCTTGCTGTACTCGTTTCACTTATTTATTTTGTGTTGCAATCATTCAGTGAATGTGAGTCACTTGGCTTAAATGACTTCCCAACAGCAGAGAGACTGCAGTGGCATGGTCATACTCCTGGAATGCCAGACTGGTCTGACAAAAGCCGTTTTGTGGCTTTTACACTGGTACCTTTCTTATCGGTCCTTCTTGTCGTATACTCATTTTTTGTACTTCTATTCACTGGTAATTGAGCTTGTCTGACAGGATAAAGAATATAAGAATCATAAGAGCCAGTGTAAAGGATAACAAGCTCTAGAAACACAGTGGTCTCATCTCTAGCTTTCTAGTTTTAACAACAAGCAGATAACTCCATTTTAATGTTTCCACATGCTACAGAGCATGTTAACCTGCATGAGGTAGCTGTAATGAAATATGACAGAAAATATGTACAAATATAACCAGTTAGATCTGCAACTAGAATACTTCATTTTACCATGTCTATATGTTAAGCGAATGAAGTAAGTGTAATGGAACATAGCACAGAACAAATATAGAAGTATAGAATGTGCTGGACAATCCTTTGATTTGGGCATGCTTAATGGGCAAGTTCAGAAAAGAAGGGACTACTATATTTATAGCTTTATTACCATGTTACATTGGGATTCTGAGTAAGTTAAGAATTAGGGCAAAGGTCTGCTATAATGTCAAGCCTGGTAAGAAAGAATGAAAGTGAATGCTATAATTATTAAATTGTCCCCATGAGCAGAACCAATCTCAAACAGAATAACAAGGAAACTAAAAACTGTTATAACAATTCTGGTGAAAGTGAATACATGATCTGAAATAGCAAAAGCCTAAAGCTTATCTCCAGTCTTGATATCAACATTCAACGTCTGAATATTTTAATCACCAGAAATTTTAATAATAAAAATTTCCTGGAAACTGAAATAACATTGATACATATAGGTTACTTCCTAAATCCTAACATGGCAAAAAATACCAAACGTAACTCGCCAGAATAGATTCCTTGAATAATGAAAATTACAATTTGAACCCATAATATGCAATCAAAAAAATTATCTCTAGATAATTTTTATCCTTCACAAACACGCTCCTTCCCCACATCATTCTCCTCTCGTGAGAGTAAACTAGATTCGAGGTTTAAAGTATTGGAGTGGAAGAAAATGACCAACAAAATCGTTCAATTGCAATGTAAATCATAGATTTCTTGACTTTCATCTACACTGTTAAAAGAGCTGCTTTTGCCTAATTGTTGAACACTAAGAAGAAGGAAGTTGATGGAAAAACTTTAACCAAATAGCACATTATTAGACTCCTCTTTTGCATGGAATGTCACATTTATTCTCTAGAAGATGATAATGTTAATGGGAGGATTTCCATTGGGTAGGCAATAGAAATAATCTTCACTTACAGGGACCTCCTCGGATTTGATGTGTAATTCTTCAGATCAACTTGCATGATCTCAGCATTCTGACTTCAAAAACCTTGCTGCTTTTGTGTTCAACTATCCAGATAGATCACTTTGCAGTGTTCCATCATAATTACCTTTTTCCTTCACATTTTAGTTCCTCAAAACTTGTTTGTTCTTCAATGTGGTTGTTCTCTTTCAACTCAATAATTAAGGATGTATGAACAACTTTAAGACCAATTGATCAGTCATCTAACCTTGTTTGCAGGCACATTAGAGGAACACTATTGAGATCATAAGACCAATTGATCATCCATATATAGTATTAACCATTCTTATATATTTTCTCCCCTTGCAGTATATATTTGAAATGACAGTACTCATAAAATACTGAATGATGAAGTTCATAGGACCAACCTATTTCTGAAAGAAATCAACTCTTTCAAGTGCAGAATGCATATAGGCTTGATAAGTATCATCTTCCAAAATATGAGATTTTGAAATATATGGTGAAAGAATTTATGTGGTGTAAGTGATGACGTTGCACTGACACCTGGTGTTGAATTGCGGCTTTGAATTATGATGCGGTGCTGACATGTTAGTTGACATGGCATTGGGCGGCACGGGTGTGCCAATGGTGTAACCAATGCCAACTTGATGGTGATAGAGATGACACCAAAATTCTGGAGGTAGAGGTGCATGGAGACATGTTTGGCTAGGCCTGTGGTGCAACTAGCAATGGGGCCACGTGAGATGATTGAGAGTGTGGAATTTCTTATGCAACCAGATCAGAGTTTGGCAATTTCAATGGTAGTGGTATTTTTCTGATACGGTTGCTTGAAAGAGGAATTTTTATTTTCTGGTGAATAGTGGAGGAAACAAGTGACAGAGTTCACTGGTTAGGACTTGGCTTTCAATGTTTTTGGTTAGACCGCCAAAAACTAGAGAAAATGATTTTTGTTTATGGACAGCGATCCTTTTTTCCTTTTCTCGGGTAGTGGGGATGGAGAACCTTTCAGAAAAAAATGATAGATTTGGCTGGATGCTATCTTGCTTGGTTTTCTTTTTTGATCGTCAGTGGTAAGAACTACTAACATAAGGCCAATAAAAGCTCTACTACGCTTTGATGCTGATTAAATATGATGCAAAATCAACAATCTCAAAATAGAAATATGAAATACCAAAAATAACCTTAATTGGCTCCCCAATAATTCCTTAAATACTAAAAAGTACTACTGAATCCATAAAAATATATAAGATCAACACAACAAATATCTAGGTAATTTAGCTCTTAATATCATCACCTCGCTTCCAACATTTGGAATGAATGGCTCTTCTTACACTCACTCAATGACTTGCTTGATAATTCAAATTTTTAGGGTAAACATAAGTAATGGCATCTGGCCATAACATTACCACTTTCTCGTCAATTCCAGTCCCTAGTAAACAGCTCTCGTGAAGTTAATCATCATGCCAGAGATAACTACCACTTGCTCATCAATTCCAGTCCCTATTAAACAGATCTTAGTGAAGTTAATCATCATGCCAGAGATAAGTTACATTAACAAGTAGTTTTAAGTCAGCTTTACAAAGAATAATAGCGTTATCCACATTTTGCAAGTGTGAAACATTAAGGCTGTTAAAACATCTGTATCCCCTCCCTTCTGTCCCTCTGCTCTCTTTTGTGTTTCCATTTCTCTTTCTTCTCATTTCTGTTTCGGTACTCTGAGTGTCTTGAATTTTTTGTCATTTGCTTCTACCCAGATTGATTCTGTGAAGGGAGAAATCTATGTTGCTTTCAACACCAGTTATTTGCCTGTTACGATTACATTGCCGGAGCGCCCAGGATATAGATGGGAGCCATTGGTGGACACCAGTAAGCCTGCACCATTTGATTTTCTCTCCAATGAACTCAAAGAAAGAGATATTGCCATCAAACAATATGCTCAATTCCTTGATGTCAATCTGTACCCCATGCTCAGTTATTCTTCTATTATTCTGCTCCTTTCACCAGATGAAAATGCTTAGATTAAAATCTGTATCATAAGCTCAAGGCTTGAAACGCTAGTTTCATGAAGTTGTTATGTGCTTTGGAGCAAGCCATGAAAATGAAAATATTCTCAGATCTATGCGTTATATTCCTAAAGCCTGCAGCAAGTAACAGCTCTTGTTGGCTGCAGATACTTGTTTTATATCATAGGTTCGTGCAGAAGAAAAGTTTTTGTTAGTCACGTCATGTAAATTCATCAGGTAAAGATTGTGTGAATAATAATATGATGCTTCCATAAAATTCCTGAGATTGAAATTCTGTAACCACTGCATCAAGCAAAAATCATTGTAAATTTATTCTTCTATTTAGTTTGGTCCTCAAGTTGTACCTGTCCTTAGACTCGTGCAAATTGAATTCTGTACTCCGTGCTTTTGTTCAATATCAATCTAATAATAATGGAAAAAACCTTATATAGAATATTTTATCAAAATTCATTTCTTTTTTTTTTTTTGATCCACTATGGCGACGAACTATATATTATGACCAATTTTGTTTTAAATTAAAGTCTGATGTTAAAATTGTATTCGTGTAAAGATAGATGGTAAAATTTGACTATCAAATTAAATAAATTAGAATTGGTCCTGTGTGTTGCACACAGGTCAAATAAAATACATGAAAGTAAGTGTGGATGATAATATGTTCTTGAATTTATAATGCATGGTTTTATTGGCAGTATTTCAAACAAATGTCAATGGTTATTTGAAGGTATCTGTTTTTTTAACAAAAGTCAACATTTTGATGTTGAATTCATGATATTGCCTACAAAAATATAAGGTAGTTTTTGTAATTTGTGTACATCCATTGTTATGCAATTAACCAAAAATCAATGTCCTAGAATCATATGAGGATTGTAACGACTTTCTTTCTGATCGTTACTGACGTCCGAGACTTGTGAGTGAACCCGTCAAATCCTGAACAAGCCTTTGTTAAGATTTATGTGAATTAAATCGAACATTCTAATGCATATATAAATCAACTTAGATTTCATTATGACATTCCACTTGTGACGTCCATTAAAGATTCTGCCGACTTGCACTCACACTATCGTTTACTTAAACCAAATAAACAGCTGTAATTAAGACGTGGCAAGTAAATACAATATCCAATTCTCATAGGTTTTAAGATAAATCTAAACATCACACTTAGAATCTATTACACAGCCTCGAGGCTTTTAGCGATACAATCCGATAAACTAATGATCTTTATAAGTCTAACTGTTTTACACAACATGACCCCTATGCAGCATAGCGACTTGGAGTGGTGGTCTAATAGATGCCATTACCTACATCGCAGTGAGTCAAAATATGTTGGGCAATACACTTGAACTGATCACTTATCTGCAAAAAGAGAAAGATAAATGGGGTGAGTTTCATAGATTTAGTGATTATCTGCTTCGTTAGCAGGACATAGATAGGGAACAGGCCAGGGACAGGAAATTTGAATATTAAAAACATAAGAATATATATAAACAATTTAAACTCAAATGGAACATTTGTGCCTTACATATAAACTCAAGAATTGTGATGCAAAATAATCATTTCAAGTGATGTATTAAAACTAGTGCAAGTGCAAGATTTCTACCATCGAAATCATTCAATGTCCTTTACTTAAAATCAGAATATAATAAGCAGGCACGCTCCATGAAATCAAACCTTATCAAAGCTTATACACAAGCTTGTAGACCATCTCATCCTTGAGGTATTAAACACAAAGTCATAGTATAAATAAAGGAGCCGTGAAAAAACTTGTATTTCTCACCATGCGATAGTAATCATGTTTGAAAACCCAAAGAGATATCACTCTCGAGTAGGTAATTGTAGAATCAACTCGTGGACCAGCTTCCACGTAATAACGTCTGGAAGGTCATCCTCTACCAGAATCCAACAGCCATGGCAGTCTCGACGATGTTGGTTGACATCAAAGAAATCATGTAATCGCAACCACGTATATCAACTCGTGGCCAAGCCATCATCTCGTGGCCTTGCCACATATATATATATATTACAAACCATAGCCTAGCCACGTCTGACGGTCCGTCGGTGGCCCAAAGGTTCTTTAGTTAGAACTCACTTGTTCACAAGGGTCACACTATCCCAGTGTGACATTCGGCCTACTCTTGAATCTCATGGTTTGACAAAACCATTTACAAGCAAATTGGGTTCTCAAAAGCTCATTTTAAATCTATTTCCAAAATATCAATCATGGTGACATGATAAACTCGTTTGTAAGACTTTATAATGTAAAACCTTTGCATAAGGTTTAAATATTAAATCAGCATGGTGAATATATATAATTTATTCATGAATGCACATCACACAAACAAATAAGGCACATTTTGACATAAACCGTGGTAAAGAGCTTGTTCCCCTATTTTTAATGTGCCAGAAATTGTAATGTGCCATTGTCGATTTTCTAAGTTAGCAGAGTCAAACATTTTATAGTTGGCAATGGCCATTCTAATTCCCCTATTTGTTAAGCCCACGGTAAAGATTTTCTTTTGGCTGATCAATGCTTCGAGTGGTCTAGGGAATGTCATTCAGTCGATAAGTTAAAGCATTGCAAGTTTTGTGATTGTTGCACTAACCAATTTTTCTGCTGGTCTACCAAATGCCACCAAACCCATTTGCACAATGCGGTCTTCAACAATAAATTGTTTGCAGTACCTCAAATCAATCATGTATAATTTATCATTTCAATGAAAGTTTATAATAATAATGGTTGATTTTAAATGAATGGGGGAATGTATATATATATATATATGTTCTATGTATAAACCAAAATTTCAATAATATTTAATGTTGAAGACATTTGGCAGTAACATATTTGCAGACAATTATCTGCAATAAATGTTAATAGTAAGATTAAAAGAAATTTCTTAAGGATATCAAGGTAAGGTTAGCTTGTGCAACTATTTATGATTAAGAGATTTGAGTTATGTTAATCATATGGTTTGATATGGGTTGATTGTATTAAATATATAAGACATGTAAAAAGATATTTATTTGCTTACATTGGTAACAATGTCTTTTCTTCATGTTGGGAGCACCAATATTTGCCAACGCAGAATCAAAGTGTCATCCCACATTCGTTACAGCAATTGTAGTACCGGTCATTTGAGCAATCAATGTTAGCAATTGTTGCTTTGATTTTGTACTTGGTTTCTTGCAGTGTATGTGAGTTGTCAATATATTTTTTATTTTACACTTCAGGTTAGAGTGGTCAGAGGAATATTCTTTTTACCAAAACTTTTGTTGGGTCAACAGCCTTGATTTCTCCTATGATTAAGTTTTTTTATTTCACTTCATTTTGTTGAGGGTTGGTGGGGTGACATCTGCATATCAATGATTTGGACACTGAACGGTTTTTTTTTCATAACTATATGTTAATTTGTCATTGGATAATACTAGAGTAATAATTCAGCAGCAATCGTTTTATATGTAAGTATTACATCTGTATTTGAAGTATGGTTTCTAGAATGTCAAGATCTACATAAAATTTCATAGCTAAGTAGGAAGTAAGGTAAATTGTATTTGCATTAATAAAAAAAAAAAGAAATGTTCATCAAGGTAAATGAATTTAATTTTTGGTATATATCATATATTGACTCATGTATTTTTTTGACAGTTGTTGTAGCCGCAATTACAATCAAACTTATGAAATTGTCAAGCTACTGATCTTGATCAATTGCTTTAGCTTGATCTCCATAGAAAACAACTTTCAAGGTGTTGCTAATGGAATTTAAATGAACAATTTATCAAACATTGCATAATTTGGGGTGTTTTGATTATGAAAAAAAAAGTGTTGGTCTTTTTTTTATTCCTAAGGTCTTCAATCTAAAGGTTGCGTCTCTTGACATTATTTGTTAGATTTTGTAAATGGACCTTTCCAAGGGTGGTCATTGATGTAAGAGCTCCAATAAAGTTTGGCAGAAACAAAAGAGTCAAAAAGAGAAACAAAAAATGGTTATTGATAAAGTGAAGACAATAAAAAGTCAAAGTAAGTATTTTTGAATATGATGTTCCCATTAAAACTTTGTCTTTTCGTATTCGAGCATTGAGTTGATCAATAAATACAAAACAAAAATACAATACAGGTATGGACTTAAATCTTCTTGGATTGAATGGATGACAATGTTCCTCATAAACATACCCATCATATTCGAGGGAAAAGGATTGACAGAGATTTTTTTGTCATTAATTTGGAATTTCTAGATTGGGTAAAATGCTCTTTCCTTCTTAAGTTTTGATTGAAATTATATGAAGGTCCATTAGTTTTTAAAATGGAAACTTTGTCCCAAGAGTGCAAACACCATTAACAGAGATTATGAAAAGATTAAAATACTTTTTATTTTTTTATTAATTTAAAAAATTATTATTATATTTTTTAAAAAAAATAAAAATTCTTAACTCTTCAAGAGTGGGGAACACTAATGCTTGAGGCTCCCTAAGGGAGTATCGAGTTCCCCAAAGGAAGCACCAAGTGCTCAGGGGAGATCGGTGCTCCTTTAGAAGCCTTGATCAGGCTCTCAAGGGGATCGTCGATGCTCATTTTCTGAGAACTTGATGCTCCCCAATGAGGATTTTTTTTAATTAACAAAAAATAATAATAAATTAATAAAATTATATAATAGTAATTTTAAAAATTAATTAAGGGTAAAATTATCTTTACACTTGCCACATCATCAAATTGAAGAAAATACTAACGATTGACTAATGGTTGGGCCTACGTGTCTAGCGGAAAATATTTTTTTTAGGATGGAGTGTCCATTTCAGAAACTAATAGACCTTTGTATAATTTTGATCACAACTTGGGAAAGTAAGGGTATTTTACCCTTTTGGATTTGATAGAGGCATCCTTCTTTGAGTTGATATCGAAATTGTGGTGCATCTAAAGTTCTAAACATGAACTACATCGCATTTTTTTGCTCAAGAATTTCATAATCATGAAGAAATTCAATAATGAGTCAATAATAAAAAAAATTAAATATTCATTTAACAAAGAATTAGATAAAATATTGAGCATGTAGTGTTGTATGTGATAAATATGAGAAGAGCAAAAGCAAAATTAACTATGTTCTGTTATTTAAGATTACACGAAGTTATGTTAAATTTTGAAGAACTTTTCAATCACTAAGATTGTTAATTTTGAACATAAAGGTACGTAATACTATTGTACTGTAAAAGTAAAATGTTTAATTAAGTATGATATAGATGGTATTCTTGAGCATCAGTAGCTAGGAAATCATGGCTTAGCAATTTGTCAGGTCGAGAAGGATCAATCGATTCCCAAATACAAGCAATCCTGACTTTGACTGATATACCTTGCTGAAATGAATGTAAAAATATTAGTCTTCCATTTTTAGCTTGCAACACAATTAATTAGTGATGTACTGAAA